CTCTCCAACTTTGCTTTAACTGTTATTACATTTAGGTCTACCTATTCGGAATTTACCGAATTGACGAAATAGTATACTATTTACGAGTATAACTGCAATAAGCATTTCATACTTATACGCCAACCCCGTAAGAAGGACGGGTACTCTGCTAGTAATTAATATACTGTAGGATTATTACTAGGATATTCAGGGGTTCTTAAAATAATTATGGGGGTTCTTATATTTGGGAGTTGGTGTTGTGCTGGCTTGAAAAGAATATTTGTCAACATTAGGTTTATTTACAAATTACAAATATGTGAGGACAAATTAAGTGTAGGGAACATTTAATAAAGGGAATTAAATATTAAAATTACATATAATGTGGGGAATTAACACTACCTAACGAATGATATGAAATGTAATACTATAAATATTTTAATTGTATGAACAACGTACTTACATAATATGATATTTCAACAGACAAATTCAATCTCATAATAAAATAACCTACTCCCGCCGCAGTAAACCTGCATGCAGATAAGCTAATTTCCATTTACCTAGCAAGATTTACACAAAAATATTCCCTTAAAACAGTCTAATGATAGTGATTTAATGATTACCTAAGTTTGCTGCTAAAGTGATAGTAAAGAGGTGTGTTTGCTGGTTAAAATGTCGATAGCTTGGTATGAAATTAACAAATTTCCCCGATTGTATTAGGTACAATATCCGTCAATAAACAAGCAAACTACAACAGTTGATTAAAAAAATAAAAATAACAAAGAGTAATATTTACTTTACCATTTTTATTGAATTTTATCTCCCCGGCAGGCGTACAACCAACGCTTTGTGGTACTAAATGATTTTTTTATAAGCCCTACAAAATGGTTTAGAAAGAAATAGAAAAACTGTATGTTTTAGGGTCAAAAATGGGAAATCCCTATTTCATTATTTAACGAAAGTTTAAATAATAACCGGTAATAATAATAAGTTTAATAATAACGTTTAAACCACATTTCATCAACATCAGATTATATTTGCTTGAGTTATCGTGCTGACGGACATATATCTAAAAATGTGGACGGGTGGTGTTTTTGGCTGTTATGACCCTTCAAAACGAAAAAGTAAATCGGTCCTGGGAGTCTTTCAACGAGATCTCCGGTAATAGCTAATATCCTATACCTTTGAATAAGAAATTCGCTTAACAACCTGATCAATTTGTACTGAAACAATAGAAACAAATCAATAGGCATCATTAAACTATTCATCCAAACCCGCGTGATCTTCCAGAGACCGCTCATATATAACTAATTTTTGTTTCAAGGCAAAGCACAAGAAAATTCACAACCGAATGTTGTATATGCAACACTAGTTACTAGGCCTACGTTATTGTTTCAAATTTAATCACCATTATTTAAATGCGGCCAAAATTAAAGATACTTTTATTATGAACTCAACAAGGTATATAAAACTATTTATTGTTCTTATGAATTTGATTGACTAAATATATAATAAATTATATAAAACAAAATTCACAATAACAAATATACAATAATAATGAAGTGATGATAAAATTAAAAAAAAAAAAAAAAAAAAAAAAAAAAAAAAAAAAAACACAGCTAAGTTATTGGTTTTTATTGTAAAATAAAACAGTGCACTAAGGGAGCAGAAAATATAAAGGCTAGAAACAACTATGTATTAGTAACTATTTGGCAATCTCCTGAGCCATCCATATATTACTCATGCTAAAGTTTAAGACGGAAATAGCTAGCTCATTACCTGAATCGTCTTTATGCTATTACTCTAGTGATTCAAAGAATTGGCTGCAATACATTTGTTTAACTTAATATCTCAACAATAAGAATTCAACTCTAGGAAGGTCACTATCCCATCAGTTGCCCTCAGTAACGAAAGTGTTTCCTCCCCAAAGCCATTGCCCTTTGCACCCCTCCCCCCCCCCCCCGGGCACCAAAGTCATCCTCCTCTCTTACCCACGGGTCAGGTACTTTTTGGGGAGAGAGGTATTCTTGGGGGAAAGCTAGTTGGTGTGCGAACTGAAGCCTAATGAAGCGTAAAAGGGTTCGACCCCGGATTAGGGCCAGAGCTCGCCAGGCTTCCGTTTCCCCCTGTTAGGGGGGTTAAAAATATTTTTGATGTAAAAAATTTCGGAGCCTTTGTTGACAATTATTGCCACAATCAAAATATTTCTATCTATTTCCGTTTTAAAAATACAGATTTGTTTCAATACTTAATTTACACACTGTATACATTAATATTATTTATCCAAAATAACATCAAATTCAAATATATTCGTTACACAATAAATTAAGTCTTAATGAAAACAAGATATCAAATATTAGATGATATTATAACAAAAACATTTTTGAAAATTATAACAAAAACCCCAACAATAAAAATAAAATTCTGGGTCCAGTCCAGTCCAGACCTACCTCACTCGAAAGTAAACTTGAACAAGCCAACTTCAAATTTGAAGGGAATCACTGACTGCAACCACTCAGCTTTCCAGACAATTTCCTTTGTAAAAACTGGCAAAACTGGATTTTGAATATCAGGATGATTTTCTTTAGATTTTAGATTGATACATATATATAGGCCTACCGGTCTTATCCATTGATTCCTACCTGTGAAAGTTCATCCAGCATCGGTAGGCGTTGGTCTCAGTGCTCAGTTCAGTGATGAGTTTAATCAGTCAATGTCACTATCATCAATTCACGTGCCCTGCCATGCCATTGGGCAGTGATAAGTAAGTGTCTCATGTCAGCCAACCCAGCCAGCCCCAGTCACTAGACCACTACCACATAACATATGTTAAAGCTATGTATACATTTGCAAAAACACAGACAGATAGTTTACCACAGGCATATTGGACCCACGCATAACATACAGGAGGATGTGACCCATGTCCACATAGCGTCCTCTATGCCCACGCCTATCTATGCGATGGGGGTTTTTGTTGTCTCGTCCTAAAGGTACAATTTCTTTTAGGGTGTACGTAAGTAAATCATATCCTGTACATTTAACGTTTTCTTTAAACAGTTGTAGGCTTGTTAATCTAAGGCTTCTGTCAGATTTGAGTCCAGAGGGTGTTTGATCATAGAATCCTCCAACACAGGAGGCTATATGATGGTTTGATGTACCATATCTCATGATATTTCTCCAACCAAACGTATTTAAATTACCGATATTGAAACGAATAAAAAATGACTACCTATCCATACTATGTGATACCGGTACCTTAAGTTTAAGTTTGCCATTTATGAGATGGATTCATGAATGAGATTTACCGATGATTTGTTTAAGATAAATGTTATTCTTTATTTTATAAGTTTGTACAGTATAAAATATAAAATTAATTTTTAAACTATAATATAATAAATAATAATACAATTAGGTACCTTTGACACAACTCTGAAGTTTCCGTATACTGAAGTACAGCCGTTTCGGCATCAAAATGCCATCCTCAGATATGTATCCACCGGTGTTTTCATACTTTACACACACACGAAACACGTTAAAAACATTTAACAATAATACTCCCCAGCAAACCTGCCGACTAAACTAATTTCCAATACTCTGTATGATTTTCAATTAAAATTTTTTAAATAACATTAGGTTTAACGAGTACCTAGGTTTTGCTGCTACAAGGAAACTGAAACTGATAAAGTGTAATTTAGTAAAATATTAATAGCTTTAGTATAAATAAAATAAATTGCCAAGTTTGATCAAAATATATCCAAACAAGCAAACTACATTTTCAGCAATATTCTCCATAAAAATAACATGAGAATTTTAAATTTAAAATTTTTTGAATCTTCTCCGTTACCGCACAAAAACACTTTGATATACAATATTATTTTGTTTTTTGAAGCTCAAAGGTCTAAAGATAAATTGAAAAAAAAAAATGGGAGAACTCAATTTTTACCCCATTTAAATAAACCCCCCGTAAAACCCCGTTCCCATATGGTCCGATCATGCTAGTTAAGTTCACTCATCCCGCCTTGCACCTTAAAAATAAGAAGAGACAGGCATGTCTCTTTTTTGATACCTATGTTTTAAATGTTTTTTATCATGTTTCGTGTGTGTGTAAAGTTTGATGACGCCGATTCTGGTGGATATACATATCTGAGTATGGCATTTTGATGACGAAATGGTCGTATTATACGAAACCTTGAGAGCTGGGACTGATGAGTTAATTGTATTATTATAATATATTCATCAATTTAACTCAGGGGATAAATCATGTCTAATGATAATTTTTAAAATAAGCGGGATGGTAGTCATCAGTACCAGAGCACTGAAACTACTATACGAACATGAAACACACATAAAAAAAACTGAATATTGGCTCCAAATTCAAAAGAATGACAAGTACAAATTAGTTGCACCATTTTGAGCTATCGACCTATTTTCGTTCATTTGAATGACGCTCACTTTAATGTAGAATTTTTAATTGAACCCGGGACCCCAGGAACCGGAGACCCGCGCTCTAACTACGTAGATCAGCTCGCTCGCTCGCTCCCCCTTAAGCACGGGTCACACTCAGGACTACTTGGGTCACACTAGGCTGTTTGCCAGCCGCTGGTGATCAGCAGCTGGCACCAGCATCACCGGTTCACCAATCCAGGCTGAGCCAGCTCAGTATCAGCTGTGAATTTTGTGGTCACATTAAGCTGACAGTCGCGGCTTCTTTCAATTCGCCGCTGATGCCAGCCTAGTGTGACCCGTGTTTAACCAGTGACATTACCGCAACTTGACATCATATGGCAAACAAAATTTGCCAAACGAAAACAGTTTGTATCAAACAAAAATGTTTGTAAATAAGTCTTATGGGATCATAATTTAATTTGTTCGTTGGCTTTAGTTTGTTATTTCACTGATCTTCAATGAATACAAATCATAGGCCTAGTTTTAATCGTAGTAATGTATTGAATTCAGTATTGAGGAGATTCAATCTTCTTGAACGCCTTTGGATTGTAGGTCCATCTGTTCAATTCGAAAATGGCGTTTTCTGCAAAACAAAATCCAAAGAGCTCCAAAATTTGATCCTCCCTTGAACAACGTCAAGCGTGGCTAATCCAAGTAGAAAGAGGTGAGTAATAATTTCTTTGTTTTCCTTTATTTACTATGTCAAAAACTGTCGAAATCCGAGAGAAACTGTTTCGAGCAATTAACTACCATCAATAATTAACTTAAACTAGTTGAAATTTGTATTCTTATTTAGTCTCAAGGGCGTAAAAAATCATGCCGACTAAACGATTGCAGCCTAGGTCCAATCAACACATTAGCTTGATTCGGAAACCGTACCTAATTAGCGTGTCCATCTGCTAATATATGGATGTTTATTACATTTTGGATTTTGCTGCCATTTTGTACATTTTTAGAGCAGGGTAAATTAGGTTCTAGAGCCCATTTCCCATGAGATGTAACTTAAGTTAAGTCACACCTGTTCATTGTAGGGGCCTACTGTATGTAGCTAATGTAAATGGGCTATAAGTTACATACTAAAGTAAGTTACAATGAAGGCTAAGTCTCAGGCTGAATCATTTTGTTGGTTACTTCAATACCTAGGCCTATTTGTTTTTACTAGCTGGAAGTAGGCCTAATACGTAGGCCTACGGCTGTATAAATACAGCGGGAAAATAATTTCATATAGGCCTACTTAGGCCTAGGCCTATAATCTCGGCTAGGCCGAACACCATTATTTATTTCCATATTGTACTAGGCCTAGGCTAAGTTTGAGTTAGCAGCCTGCGTCACTTTGTGACTCCAAAATCCTTGATATAAGTTATAAGTAGGCCTAGCCTACCTTAGGCTAGTTGATAAGGGCGAAAACGATTATTTCTCATCATATCTCTATTATTTGCTTTGCATGCCCTATTATTTTCATTGTAGCCTAACTTATGTGCTATTTCTTTGAGGCATCTTACAGGAGCCTAAAATTTCAAATGCTAAGTTTAATGAAACATAAGTTAGGCCTACGGTACTAACTTAGGCCTATGAAAAAAAAATCTCTTTTTTACGTTTTAAACAAATACTTTAACTTAAAGTGTGTTACTTAAATTCCTTAACCCTCCGAGTGTTAAAAGCGTAGCGTAATCGACGCACTACACACCCGCCGTGGTGTTATGTGTCGCTTTTGCGACACATAAACATCGTTTAATGCAAAGGCTCTGGGACCGGCTGAATCAGATTGAACTGGATCGAGATTGGTATCGTTGTTTTCAGCAGATTCTAAGCTTTCTCCTGATGTCTGTTTCTAGACGCTTTTAATTTTAGTCCCGAATATATTGTAGCAGACAGATGACGTGCGTATTTGTAAACAACTTCAGGGTGTCCACATTCTGGAAAGTCAGGGATAGTCATGGAAAGTCATGGAAAAAAATTATGGTCATTGAAAGTCATGGAAATAGGCAAAAAGTCATGGAAAGTCATGGAAATCCCCAATGATGGATGGATTTCAGGGGACCTTTCAATGCTCTAGTCGGCCGTAACCGCGACTATTGTAGCATTTTTCCGAATTTTTCACAAATGTACGACAATTTCAATTTATACAGTTGTCTTAGTTTATGGGTTTTGAGTTTGTATTAGTTCATTGTTGTACCTATTGTACTCCATTGTTATCTGTTAATACATATTTCAATATTTTCTGTGAAATAACTTGTCTAGGCAGTATTATTCGTGTGTGTACGGTATATTATAATTTTTTAGTTAAGTTCGTGAGTCATGGAAATCAATGGTTAATGGTCATGGATAGTCATGGAAAGTCAGGGAAATTGATGACAAAATTTCTGTGGACACCCTGAACTTGGTTAACCTCGCACCGATGACTGATGTGTTTTATTACGTTTATCATTGTTTTAGTGTTTAAAATAAAATGTTGTGATATACGTGGTGCATTATAAGAAGATTTAAGTGATTTTGAAGGGCTGGTTTATGATCCTGAAGATGTTTGTAAAGATATTGACGTAAATTATCCGCCAGATTCCTAGCTATGGTTAGGCTATGCATTCTTAGCTGACCCTAAAAATGTACGAAATCTGTTTTTCACCCATAACTTATTTATTTGCAAACCTAGGCCTACTTCCTTAATAGGCTAGGCTATTATTATATTTTTGGAATCCTCATAAAATTTAGAACAAAGAAGCTATTTAAAAAAAATTTTAGACCTATAAATCATAGGCCTAAACATTTATTGAGCGTAAACATACATTTTTAAAATTTATTTTAGCCAATAATTTTTGAAAAATGTTAACCCCACAAAAATTGTAGACATTTTTTGTTTGTAATGTTTTATAGCCTATTACATTGAAGCCCATAATTTTCCAAACAAACTGGTATATAAAACAGTATCCTTTAGAGTGTTTTTAAGTTTCTAAGATACATTTTAATAAAGCCCTGCAATTGCGCAATAAATGGGCGGACATTAATACCATTACTATGGACACTTGGAGGGTTAAGTTCAATACAACATGACTTAATACCAAGTTAACTTATGAAAACACAAAATCCCATCCACAACACAAAATCCAACGTACAGTAGGCCTAAGTCATTTTCTTCTTTAAATTTTATACAAATAGCATTGCCTTACTGCTGCACTTTACTTAAGGTCCTACACTCATTCGAATGAAAATGTCGATCGATATATCGATTAATCGATTGTTTCATTCAATCATAGATAAAAGGAGTATAGACATACTCCTTTTATGTCTATACTCCTTTTATCTATGATTCAATATATCGTTTGGTTAGTAAGGTAAGGTTACAACTAGTTACAATAACTTATTTTACTTGAATTCACTGAAACATCACCAACTAGCCTATAGATAACCCCATTTTCGTATGGATGTAAACAAATTTGTATTATCTCCATCTGTTTTGATATAATCTATAATATTAAAACGCGACAGGGTTTTTTATTTCACGCACTTGAAGGATTTTCATGATTTTTCTGTTGAAAGAAAGACAATTTTGAGAACTAGGGAATGTCGAAGCCATAATTTTTGTTTAGGGTCCCAGTTTTTTAGAAATTAAGTTTCAAATTTTAAAAAGTCTAGCAGCCGACGCTAACATTCTACTCTAGCTTTTGGTATAATACAATTTGCCCAACGTAACAGCTGTAAACATTCAGTGTTTTCAACACAAATTCCGCATTTGGATGAAAATAAAATGACATACGTAGGGTTGACTTATTTATACTATGCTACATTACAATCATAGATAGCCTACGTTCAATTATTGGGTAAGGGGATGAGAGATAATTTAAATATACATAGTAAAATACTAGATGTTCTAGAATTAATTTTTTTGAACAGTCTTTAAAATCTTTAGTTTGTTTTAGTGCTATAGGCCTATAATTTGTTATAACTAACAGCTGGTTGAATGTAAAAATATTCTATAGAGCTATGAGGTTAGTTTATTTACTCTGTGATTTTGTCATTGATTGTAGTAGGAATTAAGTAAGATTCTATAACCATTGCTGTATAGGAATCGAAGCTCACGAATCTTCAAAAGAAAGCAAGATGAAAATTATTTTACTACTCGACTTTTTTAGGAAAGGTTGGGAAAGTAACAACGATCACAAGTTTTAATTCATCTTAGGAGCTTTTTCTGTACAATAAATTTTGAACTGCTTAAACTAAGCTTGAATTAGGAATATACATATTGATATAACTATACACAGTTTTAATGGGCTGCTCGATTCCCGTACCTACGTAGGACGGGCCAACAGCTCGTCAAATATAAAATTGAAACAGTTCAGATGATTGACATCAGAATTCAGCACATAAGTTACTTGTTATGTTTAAATTTCTATATTATTTTAAATACAATACAATTTTAAATTTCTTTATATTATCTAGCACTTCAAGGGGGGGTTTTCAGGCAGCTAGACCCAATCTATAACAATGAAATTAAATTTCAATAAATCAAAATTGCTTATTATCATAGTAACGTAATCTTATCTAGTTAGTATTAAATCAACAACAAAATATCATGTGTCAGAATGGGTTACAGTTAAATGAGAGAGCAAATGACTTTGTTATGGAATTACTTGTCAGAAACGGTATCAGTTAATATTTGTTGAACGACTGAGTACAAACTCAGTAGTCTGTTGTTTTTACATAAACTCGTGGGTTATTTTTAAGTTACCACTAGTGAACTGCGTTTATTGTAAAATGTAATAATTGAGAGAAGATTGCATCAGTTTTTGGCACAGTTACTTAAATAAAATTAAGCTCATATGCTTGTTTAACCTTTAGTGTAAGGTTCGTGGTTAGCCTTCAGCAAAAATGAACAAATTTAACTACTGGAACCTGAGACGTATAAGGCCCAACAAGTAAGACATAAAAAATACCTGTTGAAAATAATAGGTTTATAATTTATATTTTTACAAAGTTTTATATTATTATACTCTGTGGCTCTGGCTTCAAAATAATTCTTAAACAGATCCTCTATGTAGATTATAGGCTACCTCTTCTTTCTTTATCGTGTGAGGTGTGACTAACCAATAAAAAAATCATTTTTAAAAGTAAGGGAATGCTTTCAACCCTATCTCTCTTTCTCTGATGTCTCTAATGTCAACTTCTAATTTACCAACAATGTCATCCTGTCAACCCTGTTTGAAAGCAAACAAACGGAAACTAGTTGTATTACAGCCCATGCCCAACAACTTGCTTACAGTAGGCCTACCGTCAAGCGGGGTGACTATGGTCAAATTTGAAAATTTGTTATTATATTGATTTTCTCGGAAACGAATAAAGCTATTATGAAATAAAAAATACCCGCATATTCTCTACTATTTTGTGATCATTTTGACAAATTTAAAACAATATATGAAGATGTAGTCCACGGCATCTATTTTTTTTTGTGACTAAGCCTGATATGTATTAAAGAGGTTCTGAGAGTTTCAGTTGTATATCTTATTGTATATTTTTTTAAGAATTTTTTTGTAAACATTACCAAAATCTTGACTGCAATGGGGTGACTATGGTCAAGGCTAAAAACAATTTTTTTCAAGATTTGAAGCAATTAAAAATTATTATTAATTGATTTTTAATGGTTACATATATAAGTATGAAATTAAATACAAACTATAGAATTATTATTGAAAATTAGAGAAGAATAAATCAAAAGGGAATTTCAAATTAAAACGTGTAGGCTAACCATTACGAGTACGGCCCAGCGCACACGGTGTGACTGTTTTACAACTTTCGTTGCAAACCAGTGTAACTGTTTTGAGACTTTGGCAATGTATTACAGTGGGGAGGCGCACACAACGCAACTGGTTGTACATGCGATTTCAAAAAAAGTTTGAAACCAGTCACATACAACCGTGGGCCCGACGTTGCAGTTGCGTTGCAGAGTTCAGTTGCACGAGACCACGGGGTGTTTTTGTGGTGTTTGGTGGTATTTTGGTGGAATTTTGACGGCCGTATAGTGTTTTTAGTGTTTATAATTTCCTATCCGAATAGCTCTAGCTGAACAAACAGCCTAGTAGTAACATTCTTGCTCAAATAAGGGTGAACTCAATGCTCTCTCAGTACCCTTCGCTGTATTCGGAATTGATAATAGCTAATAACGTCTTCTTCGTCTGAGTCCGACTTAGTAAACGCACTTAAGGCCTTAAAACAATGTAACTGCACTAAATTTGCACTCCACTGATTGCACAATAGACGCAACTGTAGTTGTAAAACAGTCACACCGTGTGCGGACAGAAGTTTTGTTTCAGTTGCAAACTGGTTCCAAACGCAACTGGTTTGCAACAGTTGTTGTAAAACAGTCACACCGTGTGCGCTGGGCCTATGTTGTCAAGTACCTTAGGAAAAGTGGGTTACATTTTGCATGGCCAGAGAAAGAAGATACAGTATTTCGTTAGAAGGAAGAAATTACATCATTGCTATTCTCCCTGAACCAGTCCCAGCTAGGAGGGGGGGGAAGTGATTTTCAAAATCAAATTTGATACCTTCAATGTACAATAAGAACCTACAATGGTACGGTACGGTAATAAACATTGTTGCGGTACCGTACCGTACAGACAACCTAAGACTGAGTGCAAATTCAGAATTTAATTTTTTAAATCTATAAAAGTGATCAGTTTTTAAAGTGTGTAGGACTTATATATTATGATTTCTATTATTTTAGTTCTAAAATCCTGATTTTTAACACACTCGATGTTGTGCGGACTTTCAAAGCCCACTAGAGCAAGAACTAAAAACACTAGCCAAGAAAAAAAATTATTTCAGCCATTTTATAGAACTTTGTGATATTTTTTCATAATAAAATGTGTACATTTATCTATTAAAGTGGTTAGTTTAAAGTGTGTAGGTCTTAGAATTTTGTTAAACAGACTCAAAGTTGTGCGGTTTTTCATCAGAGAAATATTCACGACAATTTTCCAAAGGTTATAACTTTTTATCCAAAACTTATAACTTATTTTCCTAATTATGTTTATCTTTAAAACTGCCAATTTTCAAGTTTGTAGTACTTATTATTATTTTATGATTTTTTTTTTAAGTGCCCATTTTATCTAAATCTCATTTTTTTTGTACTTAGGAGTAACATTTTTGAAAAAAAAAAAAAATTATACCAAATTGTAGCCAAAAGTCTTCTTTTTCTGACCATTGTAGCCCCATATCAGTGAAGAGAGTGTATGCAGTAGTATAATAGGTGTTACCAGAGTCACCCCACTCGGGGGGTGACAATGGTTAGCCAAAAAAATCTTTTTTTCTCCAATCTCCTTTCAGATTAAATTTTTTCTAAAACTTCCAATAAGCAACAAGATTGGGGGTATAGGCTACATATATACCATAAACATAGAATTATGTTGAGAATTAACAAAGTTACAAATGAAAATGCACGTTTTTTGACCATAGTCACCCCGTGTGACGGTAGTACTTTTAAGGAACTGTAGAATAAAACTAAACCTGGATAGAAATCTACAGTTGATCCATTTTAGAACTCCATAACTTAATTGTTTTGGATTTTGGTACTCACCTAAGTGTTCGGTATAACTTAAAAACTACATCCCCACTATGCCAGAGGCTGTTTGGTAGAGTCAACCTGCTTGGCCGCACCACTTCCTTTGAACTGGACCAACGTGTCGGATTGAAATCGGCATGCGACATTGCCGATTGGCTTGATGCGGCACAAGCCAGCTGTGTCCACAGTTGCCAATATAATAAACTTTAAAATAAAATTTTTTTGGGGTTTGGTTTTTATCTGTACTGCCATTTGTCATAGTGGGGGTGCAACTCAATGTAGACCTACAGCTGATTTGTGCGTTTATGAGTTGCTATAGTCATGAATATAAGAAGATAACGTTGTTATCTTATAAAAGCTCTAGGAATGACCAAGGATTGTTGTTTACAGAAAGATGAGCAGTTCTGAGGAGGTGTCGTGGATTTCTTGGTTCTGCGGCCTTCGAGGAAATGAATTTTTTTGCGAGGTAAGGACATTTGTTTGGATTTAGGGTTCAGTTAAAAATCAAGAAGGAATACCACATAACTTAGGCCTAAGATTCCAATTGTTGCAGACATTTCCTTTACAAAAGAGTAAACAAATTCAGAACATTTTTTTACATCTGGATACAACAAAATTAGTGCAGATTATCCAGAAACAGATAGTAAAATGTATAAATCATATGCTCATAACTTCACAGTTAGAACCACACATTGAACGTTTAGATAGTAGGCCTATAGGCTATAGCGTTAATCTTTAAAAAACAAATAGGAAAAAATAAATTCATTTTGTAGATAAGAAACAGAATGTGACATCATAATATATCTAAGGAAAAGCTTTAATCTATGATGAAAGAAAATAAAAAGAAAACTGTCAACTTGTGCAGGCTCTATGTTAATTTGGTTTTATTTTTTCGTAGGTCGATGAGGATTACATACAGGACAAGTTTAACCTGACAGGCTTAAATGAGCAAGTACCACATTATAGACAAGCTTTGGATATGATTCTGGATTTAGAGCCAGGTAAGTTACTATATATTTTTTTTATTCTGTTACAGAAGTTTTAAAGTCACTTGTTCTTTTCCCCTTGGAATATGTGGATCGTCAATCAATATGAACTTTGCCACTTTAGGTCCATATTTTTCTACTAGAACTAGTAAATAAGGGTAACATAGTCTCAATGGTTTGATAATGTATGTTATTTCAGAAAATGTTGAATGGTACAATTTTGTTTTATACAAAAAAAGTTAAAAAAATAAGCATAAGGCCTACTACTTATTGATTATTGATATTTTAATGGACCTTATTGGTTCAAATTTAAATACACAATTAATTACAAATAATTGATCAGAATCAATATTTTTGATTGAATTTAGTAGATTTTTAAATATAATTTTAACCTTTGCACACCACATAAACTTGACCAACGGCACAAATAACATCTCATATATTTATTTTTTAAATTTTAGCCTAAAATTTGTTTTTAATTGCTTGACTTGATCAAATGCCAAAAAAGTAAAGAATGCTAAACTGCATGCACAGCAACACCAAACAATAGCTGGGCTCGCAAAGATACTGCTGATATTGAGCGTGAACGCAGTGACACAGTACAAAAACCACAGACAGTACCGGTATACGAAAAGGGATTTCGTGAGTATAATCTCTAATGGCATTAACAGGGTGTGTAGTGCAAGAGTATATTTGCATACGGCATGTAAAGGGTTCCTTGCATTCATATATATATATATAGTTTCATTTACTTTATATCCATTTAATCACTCATAATATTAATTTAGTGGGTCGAATCAATTTAAATATACCCTTTTAACCCCCTGTAGGTTTGGAAATGATTTGACAGTGCATATTTTAATTTTTTGCCTACAGGTCTCAAACAAATTTGGTACTTATAAAATTAATTTCCAGTGGACTCTTACACATAAATGATAGTTAAATAGACAATATTCATCATGTGTTACATACAGAAAACAGCAGCCAAGATAAGATTCAAATCTCAATCTAAAGCCCAGTAGGCCTATACTTGGCCTGTGATGAAACACTTTAGACCTCTGGTTCAGACTAACAATCACAGGTTGATACTCTCTCAAAAACCTTACTCAACCCGTTTTATGCCACCCTCTACTACTTATACATTTTAATATCTGAAAACCTAGATTTAAAGTCATGGCATCCCTTCTTTTTGCAGATGATGAACTCGAAGATAACCCTAACCAGTCGGATCTAATTGAACAAGCAGCTGAGATGCTGTATGGTCTGATTCATGCCCGATACATCCTAACAAATCGAGGGATCGCCCAAATGATAGAAAAGTACCAAGCCGGTGATTTTGGACATTGCCCCAGAGTTTATTGCGAGGCAGAAAACATGCTTCCTATTGGTGAGTTTGGGGCCTAGTTTGATAGAGTGCTGTAGTCTTTTATCCGTTAGTTCAGTAGATAATACCTTCCACTTACATTGGAAGTATAATAAGCAACAGTGAGAGTTAATTTACTGAGTTTATTCGTAAACAAATTAGGATGACAATTTTAGTCCATCATTTAACGCAATTAGGCCTACATTAAAATATCTTTTCATACAGTTACCGGACAAAGTGGGCTTACTTGCACTGATTATAATAGCCTACAGAAAGCTGCATTTACTTACTTTTGCCGCACAATTTTACTTTGTCGCAGGATTTTTTTTTTTTTGCACACCAGTAGGCCTATTTCAACCAAACAACACAAAACAAGTGTGCTTTTATTATGTATGTAATCCATGTACGCTTGGAAATAGGTTGGCAACACCATATAAAGATATTACGACTATGATCAGCTGGTGCACCGTTTCCCATTTCGTTTGATGTTTTGATTTAACCTAACCTAAAACAATGTTTTCAGTGTTTGAAAGACTATTTATTTATATGATTTATAGCAACTGTGTAGGAAAAATAACTATTGGATGCCAATAGAAACCTAAGTATGCATTTTCTTCTAACCCTAAAAAAACTCATTTAAGGAAAGGGTATTCATTTCACACCAAATATGTTGATGTAATTTCAATTCAAAGGAATTAGGATCTTAATCGTTAAAATCTTAGGTTCTTATAATATTAAATATTAAATCTTAAGTTGTTCCTTACTGGGTAGGCCTACTGGCATTAACTTTTGACAATCAATTTTCAATGCCAACGTTCAGGAACAACAGTATCAAGAATTGACTTGTCCCTAGCTCCTAGCTTTGAGGTGTGGTACTACACATTGCTTTGTTTGGCAGGTTTGTCAGACGTCCCTGGCGAGGCTATGGTCAAGTCGTACTGTCCCAAGTGCATGGACGTGTACACACCCAAGTCCTCGCGCCACCACCACTCAGACGGAGCGTACTTCGGGACAGGCTTCCCTCACATGTTGTTCATGGTCCATCCAGAGTACAGACCCAAGCGTCCCGCCAACCAGTTTGTCCCAAGGTATGGGTTTAAGTTGGTTTTGTACTCCCTTGCTATTAAACACTTCCCTAGATACAATTATGCAGTAAGGAATGTGTCAACATGCACAGCTAGCAAGCACTCATCTGGTTCATTGGTTTGCTTAACTACATAGCAGTGAGGTACCCTACAGCCACATCTAACTTGTTCATTTTCTCCTTTTATGATGCCATTAGAACTAATTATTGTCCCTTATAAGTGTTAAGCTAATCTAGGTAGGTCAATTACAATGATGTAGCAAACTTTTGAATGAATGAAGAATACATTGACATTGTGACTTAGTTAAATGCATCTACATTCATTCTAACTCGATTTCGTCTGCAACCCAACAAAATTTGATTGGGCATAGCTTATGGACATGATTCACGCAAAGATTTCACTAATTTATTTGTGGTTATTTTTCAGACTATATGGTTTCAAGATTCATCCTCTCGCATACCAAATCCAACAACAGGCTGCAGCCAACTTCAAAGTCCCACTGCGTGCTATGAACTACGGAAACAATGCCAAACGTTGACCTTAACTTTAGCTTTGTAATGGGAACGGAACATAGAAACAGTAGTTGCTGTGTTTTTTACTGTTGATAACACCCTAGACTAATCGTCATACTAGGGAATACAAGCTGTGTGTCCTATTGGGAACCACCCATATTGTATAATGTGTTTATGTTAAATAAACAGAAATAATGGATCATTGAATCTGAAACTTTCCATTGTAAAATATCTTTTTGTTATAGGCCTACTGTACAAAGTACCTGTGCTACTCGAACTATGTTTATTTTTAAGTTAAGTAAAATGTAATTTCCAAATTTAGTTTTATAAGTTTTTTTTGTAAGTTTATCAATTACTGTTTTTGACATCAAATAAAATTATTGATCATATTTGCATAATATTCTTTTTCCTTTACATGTATTTATCTTTGAACAGTACAAAACAGTTCATTCCTTATCCATCTAGGCTATATAGAATCAAATGACTGTCAGTCCTTTATGTTTGTTGCTTTAGTACAAACTGTCCAATTGGGATGAAACTTAGCACTGGTCAGTGGTCATGCATAGGTGTAGTGAATACAATGCAGTACTTCTGCACTGAAAGTCTGGGTGCAATGTTGAGAGAAGATTTTCCCTGCTTCTTCATGCTTATGACATTGCGACGAATAAACTTGAAACTGAAGACAGCTGTTTTTGAGTAACTTCATTGACTTATGGATGCTGAAGTAGGCATCCCGTCTATATGGTCAGCTGTCTGCAAATTTTTATCAAGAAAGAACATAGTTCTGTGGGTCAATCACACATTGGAGGTGTCTAAAATTGGATACCGTACCGCCTTTATACCGCTGAAGTTCCATGATAAGTCGTCCTATCAGTTTTACCTAGCTAAGCAGTCCGCATATTCTACAGAAATTAGTAATTTAAATCAGAGCAACATGTTAGTGGCTCATTTTGAGTTTAAAACTGGCAAAAAATTAAACATGAGAATGGTATGTCTAGTTGTTTAGTAGTCAAAGCTAATAATATCCATCATCCTACTGATTCCTTAGTCTATTATCAGACTTATTTACTACCTTATTTTCAGTTTCGACACAGTTGATGGGCAATAAACGGTTGCTAAAGCTCACAAAGTCTTTCTATCAGTTTGACTTGTTCAAAAAGTTTGTGTATTCAACAAAAATTGGCAATTTACATCGGTACGATCTGCCGATGGCTCACATCAACTGCATTTTGATTAAAAAGCTGGCGACAACTTTAACAGGTAGAAATTTTTAAACTAAACCATTTACAGGAATAGTAACCATAGTAATAGAATACTTCCCAAATCCTTATCTTTAGGTTTTATTTTCCAAATTCTAGTAAACATGAACACCACACAATGTAATTTGTCTTTGGGCGGATGTTGCAGTATGTGTCACAGCTGTGAACAACAACAACGATGCAGATCCTGCAACATCCCTTTAACAACAAACACCCCAAACAACATCTGTCCACAAGCACCATGTTGCCAAGACCTATTGCAACATTCACTGATGCATATTTTGCAGAACTTTAGACTCCTGCCCTGTGCTTGTGTTTGCCAACACCGTAAGAATGAAACAAACGATGTACAGAAACCAAATAAAAGGTCATGTAAAGATAAATGTAACCAAACATGTTTGCAGTACGATGAAGACATTCCCGAAAGAGAAAACTCGTCAAAGCGAACACAAAAAGAGAAAAAGTGTAAAAAGACAAAACAAAGAGAAGCTAATAAATTCAGCTTTGATGAAAGACAACGTAATAAAAGTGAGGAGGATTCAGATTCTGATGAGAGGACATTTGGATTTTATGGTGGCGAAGGTGACAAGAAAAAGAGTACAAGTTTCCAAAATGCTGAAGACATTAGCAACTATGCGAGGAAGGTGAATCGCCACCCTTTGGCATATTTTGTACCATTCTAAACCCTATATTTATCATGTTCTTATTTATTACATGTCTTACTTGAATTGTATGAGATTTCATGTACAGTTTCTTTTTACAGACGTATTTTAGAAACCCTTGCCGACAGACCGCCACCACCCACCAGTGCTCGAGCGAACACCATTAGCGCAACGATACGTTGAACAGCCATAGGTCTCGGTGGTGTAGTGGATAGCGCACTGGGCTGGTAATTCAGAGGTAGCCGGTTCGAATCCTACCGGAGGCATTAACTTTTTGACTTTATTTTTTTCATTATCAGCAAGTTTGGTTGGTTTGGTTAGGTTATGATAGTTTAATTTTATAATTAAAAAACTATCTAATTGATTTTGACTTTTATAATTTTATTTTATGAACAGAACTATTTGTGTTATTAGTAAACCTTAATTTGATATTTTCATTATCATCAAGTTTGGTTAGGTTATGACAGTTAAATTTATTTTAATTTAACCTACAAACAATACGTTTTGACAGCGACAGTGATAGAGATAACAATTTCCCACCAACAGTTCGGCTATGCACGGTATGATCATCGATCTCTATTTAGAGATCAATGGGTATGATGGATTCTGCAGTGCGCGGTAGTGGTCTGTCGGTAAGGTCTCGTACTTATTTTTCAATCTAAAAATGGATGTTCGCAATAAAATAATTGTCATGGAGAAAAATACTCACGCCTAATCTATTTAAAAAAATGTTTATACATGCAAAACTAGAGCAATAGCACTAAACATTTTAAAGCAATAATAAAGCCATTCATTCAAAAAGGTAAGTTAAAACAAGAAAATATTCAAAGTCCAAAAATTTTTATTTTATCAATAACATTACATAACAAACATAAAGCTAAAAGTGATAACTTTGGCACTAATCTAAACAACTGTTAAACAAATAAAAATAACTAGATGCCTTGAACACAGGCTTTTCTTAAGACTAAATAGGGTTTTAACAAGTTAACGTATAAGTAGGTACCCTGAACACGATTTGGGATAAAATGCTAGGTTTAAGATATGGAAAATAAAATACAACCACTCTTCAGGACGGAATGTTCTAGCTTTAAGTCTTAAAAACCTCTCTTGTAGGATAAAGTTTACGACCAATCATAGCAAAGTGTATACGGTTTAAAGGTACACAAAAAATATATATTCATATATTCCTGTTTCATTAACAGTAACTTTGAGCTTTTAAAAGACACATTACTGTTCTTTCTATTTCCAAAAACATTTTTGAATAAAACAACCAAAAAATAAAACTGTCTTGCACTGTAAAACACGGCTTTACTAAATCCAAGCACATTCTTCATCTTGTGATCCAAACGACCAATTTTAAAACTTAAACAAGCCTTTGATTGAAAGTTAAATATCTCAAGCAACAGTTATTGTATACTGTATAAAATGTCTAGCTGCTACCACTACCACAGTGTTCAACACATTATAGACATCCTTCAATTGGGCAGTCCAACCCCATGCCATCAAGCAAGAAATTAGCAATGTGACTAATGGTTTATGGATTAAACTAGTGCTCCTTAAACTTCGACAGTTGTTCGACCATCTCTCAACTTCTGAAAGTAGCTGAATTTCGTCACTTTCATAAACCTGCAACAAAAGATATGTGAGCACATTGTAAAAAAGGAAAGATTTTAGGATGGGTTTAATTATTTGAAGACAGCCATCAAAATAGATTTTTTGGGAAGCAAAATTACTCATTATTGTGTCAGTAAAAGGAAAGTCTAACGAAATTGTATTTTTTTAGTGGATGTAGGGATATTAACAGATTCATAACACTTTTAATTCACAGTAAATTCCTTTACACAATCCCAAAACTAAAAATAGAATATTAACAGCTTCATAACACTTTCAATTCACAGTAAATTCCTTTACACAATCCCAAAAATAAAAATAGAATATTAACATCTCAAAGATAATGATTCAAAAAGTACCCTTAAAGCTCCGCTCAAATACATCAATTCAAATAATGGAAAAGGGTGTTTCTGTTGATCTTTTAACAGCACTCTTAAAATAATAAGCATGCTTGAACCCCAAACATGAATTAGGCCTACCTCAAAACACTCCACCATGAAAACAATCACTACCACCCAGGCAAAAATCAATTGAAACAAACAAAACAAAACATGTCAATCCCAAAGACTTTTGAGGTAGGTATATAAGACAAAAGTACTATTTAGACAACAGTCAAATCACTCCCCCCCCCACCCCGCAAAAAAATCCTCATGTTGAAAATTCTACAAAAACAACCATGGAAGCCTGAAGTTAATATCTGTAAAATTGGTACACAATGGTTATATGCAGACACACATATTCATGCTTTTCTAAAAGTGTTCATTTTAACTACTTAACTAAAATCAATTAATCAAATATAAAAAAAATAAGAGGAAATAGCAAAACAACCAACAAATCTTACAAAACTCAGGGCAAACAAAAAACATATGATAACCAAAATGAACAAACAAAACGGTCAGACGAAAACCCACACAAATGCAATATAGCAATCTTTTACCGTTCAAATTTTAATCTGTCTTGTTTTGGTCCTTGACAGTTACCCTACTGTCTCTTATTTTCTGCAGATATTGGCCAGACATGACCTGAGATAATCTGTAAAAACAAAGTGAAAGCAAAACACCACATAAATATTTATATTTTATAATGTGGGGAAAATCCAACCCACATCTCATAAAATGTTGCAGATGAACTTGTATCTTCAAAAGTGATACTTCCTTTGGGTCGGTCCCTCAATTTGAAAATGTAGGCCAAAAATACAGGTTATTACATCTGCAATGACCAAAATTTGAAATAAAAATTAACGATGTCATATCGTATCAATAAATAATTGCAGTATTCAGTGAAACTGAAAACCTTTATGTTAATTTGTTTACATAGGTAAAAAAAAGTATAGAACAGTCTGCAAGCCACAAATTGTGAAAAGTGTACTCTAAGGAATAAGAGACGTATTAATTCATAACACTATTGACTTGATGTTTGGCCCTGACAAGGTTTCTTCAGAATGGAAAATAAACATTCTACATTCTTGTAAAGTGAAGATTTTGTGTACTGTTCTGTCAACTACCTGAAAATAATTTCTTGGGTATGTTAGCATCTGTTCCTTCTTTCTTGGCAAGCCACGATATATTTCCTACAAAACCGATTGTGTAAAGTATGTAATCTCTAGTCTAATTAGGCACTTAATTTTTTTTTGACACATGTTGTCAATCTGAAAATATATCCAATACAATTGATCACACTATGATATGAAGCCATTAATCCATAATCTGTTGATAATAAACTCACTTTTTAGCCAGATAAGGGTAGTAGCGCAGGACATAGCACAGAGGCACCACAGGAAACAAGCCCATCCAAGCCTCGTCCAGACGGTTGGCTATGGCGATCGCACACAGCTTGGCGCAGCGTTGCGTCGTCATT